TCCGCCATAAGCTAACCCTGCACGGGACGATGGGGCCGTCTTTGAGATGCCATGCTAAGGCAACAGGATCGTCTGTTGGGTTCTGGGTCGCAGGGTTGCACAAAGCGAGAAAAGAGGCCACCGATTTGGAGGGGTTCATGATTTGAGCATCGCAGGGTTTGCGTCGTACTCAATCGTGCCCTCCCGCCCAGCACATGAATTGCCACAGGCCGCATTTGGCGCATGATCATTCGTGTTGCTCTCTTTCCCATTGTTTAGGAATGACAGGGACAGATTTCCAGAGTCTTCCCACCGAACCAACTCTCAGTGCCTTGGCCAGGACACCCGAGGATGGCAACGTGCCGGCCACCCACGGCTCTGGTGACTTGTACGCTTTGTTTGGTATTTATTGTCAACATACTAGCCAAGATTGCTTACTCTCAACTTTGGTGCATTTTGCTTGGATGTTAGGACTTTAACTTTTTGCCAACTAATGGGTTTTCCATTAAACCACTAAAAGTTAAACTTATAGCAGGGGAACAGAAAGCAACCGAGTTAATTCGTTGTCAGGTTCGTTTCTTCTTCTACTCATGTCGGGGCTTAGGCCCTCACGGATCCCAAAAGGATATTAACCATAAATGGTGGACAGTCATGAAGCTTTCAACCCTGAGGATCTTAGACTATGCCTTGTATGTCCCTTTGCAACGAGTTTTGACTGTAGCCTATGGCTGCGGCAAGCTGGCTTTGCAAGCATGTGTGTTTGCCTTTTAGGGTGCGGATAAATACCCGATCAGATCACTGAGTACTGTGCGCTTCGCATCCTGAATGGGAATTATTGAGTTGCATTGTTCCCACAAGGTGTCGGCCATGGGGTGTCATTTGTTCATCTTGTGTATCTTCCTTTGGTGGATGTTTGATAGCCAAGACACAAGTGATAAAGGAGGAACACAATTGACATCTCTGGCAGGTGTAGTTATGTCTTGTTTTCATCCCCCTTTATCAGCATGCCGGGAGCAGCAGCTGCTTGTGTTCAATGTGGTAAGGTACCAGCCACCGAACGACTTCCCGTTGGTCGGTCCATTTTTTAGGGGTTGAGATCCGATGCCGCCTTTTGGCTCAATCGGCCCACTCAGCGGACATGCAAGACATGCAAGGCATGCAAGGCATGCAAGAGATGGACAATGAAGAACTGGCAGGCGACATGTGGGTGTACTTTGTAAGAAGACAGATGCGTCACACCAGGGGTCAAAACATATTTGCCATGCTCAGCTACAATTTTGAAGTGGCGAAAGATAGCAAGTGTAACCTAAGCGAGCCCACCCATGGCTTACATAGGGTGGTCAGGAGATCTGCTTGGTATTTTGTTCTTAAGGGTCGGATGCTTCACCAGGCTTTAGGAACCCTGGGCTTGTGAAGCATGCCCCTCACCCTGAGCTTGGACTCTTTCAACTTCTCGGCCGGATGCAACAGGTTGGGAGATGTCCAGCCAGCTGGTTGCAAGAATCAGTGTCTCAACATCTCTCAATGCCACTCTGACATCTAAGTAGTTGTGGCCAACCGGCATAGACCAGCCACCAGGCTATTCTGTCAAAACTAGGGATGCTTCTAGTTTGGATGTCAAAACCAAATCGACACGCCACCGACCATTTTTGTGTCATATACCCACTTATCTTTTCAGCCCTTTGGCAGTGAGGCACCACCCCAATGACACCGTTTTGACGGTCACAGGGTCCAGGCCGCCGCATTTTTCCCCGGTTTTCCGTGCGGCCAGCGCTTGCCGCGGGCGCGGGGGCCATGGGCGGCCTTTTGGCCAGGCGAGAAGCGAGGCGCCAAAGGGACGCCTCGTGGGAGCCTCCCAGCCATCCGGTTTTGAGCCTGGATCTGTTTTAGTTGGTGTAGTGGGGTCGATTGAACCCGACAGTTTAAGCTTGAGGCAGGGATCTGCGTTAGACAGCCGTTCAACATCCTGGCACTGCTTTCGATGCGAACATGAGTTTAGCAACTTTACACAAACAGAAGATTGGAAGCATGCATTTTCCTTCTGTTTGCCCTGTTTGGACCCTTGTTTCCCTTTTGGCCGGCTTTGGTTCGCTTAAAGGCTTGGTGGCCTTTGTCGAGTCGTTCTGCTACTGCAGCACGGAGCAGCATGTTGCCAAAGGTCTGCAAGACACATTGCGAACTGACCTGAAAACGGTGTCACGTATGGGACTTCCTGGTCTATGCTTGGCTACCAGGGTGCAGAAACGCGGTCACCCGGCCATCAAACAGTTGAGTCTGATCTGGCTAGATGGCACAGGTCGCCTGTGAGCATGGCCATAACGTGGATGGACGAAATCTTGCACCACCCAAGACACACTGGAATGATGATTCCCCTGTAAATACCAACAATGGTTTTTCATGGTTTCTTATATAGGTGGTGCAGGATTTCGTCCATCCACAGTAAATAATTTTCGCTCACGGCAGACCCATTTCCCTTGGTGAGACACTCCAGGCCCCTGGTGCTGGGGACGCTTGCGCTGGCTATGGAGGAGTTCGGTGGGGTGGGTCAAATGCAGACGGCGCCTATTTCTCATCGCCTTTTCGGGGGCAGTTGAACATACGGCTTCTAGGCGACCCTGGCGGACCGTGGTGGTTTGATCCTCGAATCCATTTTCATGGGATATTTTCTGACTACTTCGTGACCAGCCGGTCTGGCCTAGTTGAGACACGGGTTGTTGGACTCTGAATGCAGGAACAGCCTGGCATTTCTATTTCTTGCAAACACAGCGTGCTTGTTGTAGCCCTGAACTTGAAACAGAAGATGGCACTGGGCATTTCGCTTGCACTCTGCCCTACTACTTTGAGTAGGGTTTGACAGTGCGAAGATAGCAGTTTCAGCATGGATAGCAGGATTGATGGTAGGTGGGTCAGACAAAGTAGGTCCAACATGCCGCTCATGGTTTAGCATGCAGCCGAACTGAGAATGCACGTGTGACTATTTTTTTTTGGCGCCGGCATACACATCGCAGTGGTATGTATGTATGTATGTATGTACATTATATATATTAATATGTACATAATATATATTAATATATATATATATGTATATATGAGGGCCTGGATCCAACAAGAGACTTACATGACCTGAGTACTGTAATGCAAGCCATATTTTGAAACTAAGGAGATGTTTTTGCCCTTTGCCCAGATTGATTTCTTCAAGGCATCATTCGCGATGAAGTGTCAATCGTGATGTCCGGCGTGGACATGTTGAGCGACATTCTTGCATACATAGTCGAGCGCCCCTCAAAGCCTCTTCAAAAAGGGACAAGGGGTCACTCAAGCAGGTCCGCAGTGTTCCAATTGCTTGCCTATGAGCCTATGAGCTGTCAACCGGGACAAACTCAGCAGCTCGTCCTGACTCCCTCCCCACACTTGGCAACTGGCGGCCTCGCAGGAGGTCCCTCCGCAGCTGTTCCAGTGGGTCATGACCTGGCCGCAGGCGGGTTGACATGTCCGCCAGAGGGGGAGGAAGCACGTGGTTCGAGATGCCCATGGATGGTTTCCGGTTCAAAGTATGTTTGGCTCAGCGTTGGCTCTTCTTAGATAGGCTGTTTGGGCCGATTGGTTGGATCGCCATACGGACAGCGGAACTCCCCACCCAGCAATCCGAGCGCATCCAAGCATTGCCCCTGCCCCAACATTCAATGCTTTTGGTGCGACGCCTCTGACATATTGTGATAGGGGTCCAGGATGGGAGTCAAAGCCCATGCAGTGGGTATGAAAATGCGGAAAAGCCTCGCACATTCTTGGTGGCCATAGATCTCCATATCGATGTCCACATGCGGATCTATGTCCACCAAAGACTATATACGCTAAACCACAACAGGCTTCCAATGTTGAACGCAAAATGCATCGCCAGCGGCGCTATCTCCGTGGCTCCAGCAGCAATCTTGGGGCAGTACCTAGTTGATGCTCAGAAGCCTGCGGTAAATGTTCTCAACGTCTTTGATGTAAGGGTTCGTTTCCACCAAGGTATCCAGCCCCTCCAAGCATGCCCCTGGCACCAGACTACGTTCGAAGCCACTCGGAGGATCCTGTTTCAAGCTTGCAATGCTCACGGGAAGCAGCCACTCTTGATTCTTTGACCAACTTACCAAAAGGAAGTCTTGGCACTTGGTTCTGCATGTTTGATCTTCGCTCCCGTGTTTTGGGACCGTCCTCATCCATCTTTGTCTTTTAGGCACCTTTTCTGTCAAACGGGCTTGCCCCAGAGCATTGGCGGCGACGCCATGTTTGTTTTCCCCGTGCTTCACATTGAACATGATGTCATCAATAATCCAAGGGATAAGCCAAGTCGGCAGATTGCAGTTCACCGGAATTTGCAGTGGTTTTCACTGGTTCCTTTCGCCGGGCGCCTTCTTTTCTCCTCCGCGCCGCCTCCGTCTTCTTCCCGGGCCCCTCCAGAGCAGCTCGAGGCGCCTTGCTTCGGGGGCAACGAATCGTTTTGGGCCGAAGAAGGCACGAGGCCTTGTCGACTCGGGCTTGACGTCGGGGCCTCTTGATTCTGAATCGTACCGGGTTGTACATCCCCAAGTTTTGGACGAGTCTGTTTTGTGTGCTCGTGCTTGCGTTGCCTTTTCTGGCTTCCGAGCCCGGCGAGCTTCTCAAAGCGATGGTCCCACGACCAAAAAGGCCAAAACCGTCGGATCCCCGAATCCCAGGATCGCGCCTATTCTGCGGCAATCCGTTCCAGTGAATAGCAACGCTTCCAGTTTGGAGAATGAAGCACCTCAACCTCCCCGATATGACAGCCTTGGTCCAAAGAGAGACACTAACTTGTGACCACTTCAAGAAGCAACGCCATGGGTTTATCATGCCTTTCCATCGACTCATTTCATATCGTAAAGCAAATGTGGTGGTATGCTCGCGGAGCCATGAAATCGCCAAATGGGTCGAATGGGTCACCCGGTTCCCGCCTAAAACGCCCTAAGCCGCCTCAAGCCGCCCGCGCGACCGCGGCCGCGCGGCCTCGCGGTCGCGCCATGGCGTTTGGGCGGGCGGCGCTGCTGGAAAGGGCCACGGAGCTCTGCGAGGCTTTCGCCCAGCGCAAGAGCCTCGAAGAGGCGCGGCGGACTTCGGACTTCGGGAGGAGGTGGAGGCGGAGGCGGAGGCGGAGGCGGAGGCGGAGGCGGAGGTTTTGTGCGGAGGTTTGGTTTTCGATTCGGCCTCAGCGACTTTGGTGAGCGATAGTCTATAAGTTGGCAGCTTCTATTCAAGTCACTCGGGGAGTGCCTATGTTGGATACAATCCCAGCACGCGTACGGTCAGGTCAGAGGGTGTTTTGTTGTTGTGCCTGGGTGAGTAGCAACGTGTTGGGCATGAGTTTCGATCCAATGATGTTTCGCGTTTCCATTGAGTCATCCCGTTTCTCTATGAACTGAGGCTTCCAAGCACATCTTGAAAACCACCCCCCTCAAAACCCGAGAGGCCTCGATTCACTTTTGCGCTCGAGGTGCTTTGCCACTTCTCGGAGGATGTGCTGCGCCTCGGCTCCGGGGCGCGACGGCGGGAAGCTGCAAGCGGGATGTGTCTTAAAATTGGGAAGCTCCCGGAGTGTTGAAAAAGGAATCCATCCATTTTAGGGTGATTGCTCTCCATGATTTGTTTCTTAACACATCCTGAATCTATTTGAAGCCGTATCAACATTTGATCAGTTCAGCCTTAAATCAGGCTGGGTAGGCCAATTTGTGCCTTTGGTCGAGCTGTTCAGAGCGGTCATCGCGAGGCTTGAAGGAGACCAGTACAAGGTATATTCTGGTTGTTGACATGCGACATGTCTGCTCTTTTCTCTGAAGTGAGGCAACATATATCCACATTGTATACCCCTTGTGCAGCTGGTGCAAGCAGGGTATGCACTTTGCAACTTGCCAGTGTTCGTTGATTCGTGTGAGGGAGGACAGGCACTTCGTGTCCTTGGATTTATCTTTACCGCTGCCGCATGGAATGCTACACAGGGTGGCAGGAGGAATGCCTCGCAGTTTACCTTCTTGTGTTCTTGGCGACATATGGCGTCCCATGTCACTCACGTGCTTGGCTTCGCTGCTACACTTTTCTGATGAGCAGGCTTCCCTTTTCAACATGAGTCAATCTATTTTTTTAATGGGTGGAGGCTCTCCGCATTTTATTGCATAGATGCTTTCCGAAGAGCCACAGATTTGAGTGGCTCAAGCCACATTTCCCGCCCCCTTTGCTCCTTCACGTGTTTTCTCACACTGGCCCCTTTTGGAGTTTCCACGACCGGCGCGCAAGCGGCTCTGTCTTTTTCAAGCGCCCCTTTCTTTTTTTTTAAATGTTTTTACGTGGAAACCGAACGGAGCCCCAGCCATTGCAGGGGCTCCCTCCGTTTGGAGACACTCCTTCCCGGTTTGGGAAGGTGCCTGGAGCACGGGCTGCCGGAGCTGGCGCCCTTTCTGGGCCGGCCCTTCAGGGGGCATGCAGGCGGCTGGACAAATCCTTTCTTTACATGGTTCTGGGTTCACCATTTTTGTACCAGGTTTTGATTGTGACTCAAATGTTGTCTTTTTGCGCGCTAGGGAGATCTGGTGTTCAAAGCAGCTGAGATGGTAGCCTGAACAGCTCCGGAACCTCCTGGAACCTTCCGGTTTGGGCGGCCCCTTAGCTTTCAGCTGGGGAAAAAGAACAGGCCCCGATGTTGGCCTCCCTTTCAAGGAGGTCATGGGCTCCAAGACGATCCGAGTTTCCCGTCTTCCTTTGGGCCTCGAGTCCTTTTCATTGCCGAGAAGAGCGGATGCTTTTCTTTGGCACAAATCCTGGTGAAGGGCAGAGTCTGGTGCGACTGAACTGGAGGACGTGCCTTTAGCAGACCCTCCATTACTGGCCTGAGTGAGATGAGTGAGTGGGAAATGACCGCTTCTGTGATACAACAAAAAGGGCTTCCCCCCCAAAGACAGACTTCCCATACAAAGAGGGAGATTTCCTTGTCTCACAGAAGTGGGGATAAACCCCTAGTGATCCCACAACCCTGATCAGGCATGGGGAAGTGCAGTGACTCCTCCGGGTGGTTTGCTTCTCGCCTTTTTTGCGGCGAGGCGCGCGGCGCTACTTCGAGCTCCTGGCGGAGCTGCTGGGCTTCACCGACATGGCCTTCTCGGAGCGGGGGTTTCAGCTGGGTGGGCGGAGGGGGGGAAGGGCGGGGGAAACACGCAACAGGGAAGGAGGAGGAGCAGGAGGAGGAGGAGGAGCAGGAGGAGGAGGAGGAGGAGGAGGAGGAGGAGGAGGAGGAGGAGGAGGAGGAGGAGGAGGAGGGGCGCTTCTTGCAGGGTAAAGAAGACGGTTTGTTGAGTGGCGCTCCTTTTTTTGCATCTTTGGAGGTTTTTGAACAATGCTCCGACATTGCAGGCAAAAGGCAAGGCCTTCCCCCCTTGCTGTCCCTGCAACGTGAGACCAGGGCGGTTTCCGACTGCGCCACGGGGCTGAGATCTTTTGTGTTGTGAATCCGGGTGCAGTTGGACCTTTCCAAAAGGCAGCAACTTTTGATCCACAAACACGGCCTTCCCGGGCTAATCCCGCAGGATTACGTGGTGGACGTGGAGGCGTGCCAGGTCTCTGTGCGGGGCAAGGCGAAGTTCACTTGGCTCTCCACCGGGAAGTCCTGGGACGAGGCGGTTTGCGCATCGCACGCGTGAGCTGTGCGATGCTGGCTATGGCTGAAGAAGCCCAAATGGGGAGATAAGACACATAGTTGGAGCCCTATAGACCCGAATGGTTTGGTCTAAACAAATGGGTGGACGCACGGGCACGTTGTGCCCGGCTTTGCCAGAGGTGTACATAACCCCAATCATCATTCTGTTGTTCATGCCACTAGTAGTGAGAGGATCAGGGTTGTATGTGCTCGTATCTGTTTGGCTCTGGCCCGGGATGTTGAGAGATTGTTCGAGCCTCCATTCCAACCCATCCCAACCAATAGGAAAAAAGAGTCCAGCGGCATTGAGTCAGTTCAAGGCCCAACACGGGTTCTTAAACCTTCCCTTTTGGTATCCGCAAATTGGGCTTCCTTAACGTGAGCAAGCTTCCTTTTGGCGGGCTGATGTTTCAATCAGGACACAAACCCACAGCTGGCCCCCAAAGCCCGGTGGGTGAATGTTTCACGTCTTCTCATCACCCCGGTGCCCCAAAATCGCCTCCCACCTCCCACCTCCCACCTCCCGGCTCCCGGCTCCCGGCTCCCGGCTCCCGGCTCCCGGCTCCCGTCAGGTCTTCATGTACCGCCTGAAGATGGACGACGCGAACCTGATCTCGGCCTACGAGGTCTGGGCCGACTCGGGGGCCGCCTACTTGGCGCGCACCGCGCCGCGGCTGCGGGTGCTGCTGGTGAGCTACGAGCCACTCGATCCCCGATCGGCTCTGCACCGAGCCGGGGGGGTGGCCAGGGTTGATGTGGCTGTGGTCAAAACCGTTTTGGGATCCCATTTTGGTTGGTAGGTGAATTCACCACCCATCTTAGAACCTATTTGAGTGGTTGGATTGGGATGTTCACTGGGGGGACGATTTGGATTTTGACCCATGGCCATGTGAGGCAAGTGTGGTATGTGCTCAAGCAGCTTATTCGAGCGAGTAGCAAACACTTAGCAGACAAGATCTGAGGAAAGCAATATTTATTCTAGCGAGTAGTAAAGAGTTAGGAGACAAGATTTGAGGACCAACGTTTGATGCTCAGGGCAAACAGCCACAGACATGCGGCAAGTGCAGATTCGCAGGCAATGCGCAACAATTGCTGTCACATCAATCTGCTCTGTGAGATGAACCTTCAAGTTTGTCGCTGGGTACCTATTTGGAAGGGTCTCCTGCCAGGTTTGCACCTGCACATGTTTTTCAGCGGAGGCTATTTGGAGCAATTGTGGCGGGCTTCCTCTTAAAGACTTAGGGACGCAACATCCAAGTCTTCAAAGGCTTCCTCCTCCCTCCCTCCCTCCCCTCCCTCCCTCCCTCCCCTCCCTCCCTCCCTCCCCTCCCCTCCCCTCCCCTCCCCTCCCCTCCCCTCCCCCTCCCTCCCCTCCCCTCCCCTCCCCCTCCCTCCCTCCCCTCCCCTCCCCCTCCCCTCCCCTCCCCTTCCGTCCCTCTGTCTCTCCCTCCCTCCCTCTCTTTGCCTCTCCCTCCCTCCCTCTCTCTCTCTGGCTTCAGAATTTCTCCGCGTGCCTTAGGTTCACCTTCGGCCCCTTCAGTGGCAACGGGATCTTGGCGCGGTCCGTGGCCAAGGCGCTGCTGCGCCTGGGCTGCCAGGCGAGGCACGCGCCGCGGGTTTTTGGCCGGGAGGGGAACGGACGTGGTGCTTGAGAGAGTTGGCCCCACTTTTGTGTGGATCGCAAAAGGAACCCAAAAGGAAAACCGCCCGGAGAAAGGCCACGAACAGCCACTCCAACTCACACTTGATTTTGGTTTCATCACATTCTAAAGGCCGGCAAAACGACTCCATGGCCCATGTTGGAGCCAACATGCTGCGTAGTCGGGAAACACGGGCAAAGAAGCAGATCGGCTCGCACCTTGCAAACCATGGGGCTGAAAGTTGCCAGGTGACGGTCTGGTGCTGTAGGCCCCATGCGGAGGCCAAGGACGCACGTGAGGGGCAGGTGAGGGATGGGTGCGGATCCCTGATGCCGATGATTGAGCATTCAAGCAATCCTGCTAGGATTCTATTGTCCGTCTTGGCCTCCGAGATTGACGATCTTTCTTCCGCATCTGGATATTTGGCTACCTATCAGAGCCCCATGCCCTGCGTGAACAATTTGCAGGGATGCTCCCCCAAGCATTTCTGCTTGAACTTTGATCAACTCCTCCCCCTGCAAGGCCCCCCTTTTTTTTTGGGAGCTACACATAGCCAATCATTTTGAAGTTCGAAAGGAAGTCAAACTGGGACGCAAAAGCCATATTTGCCAGACCCCCTATGCGGCAGCTAAACCAACCATAAGTTAGAGAATCAGTTTCCTTTTCCCCCTCCTTCAATCAGCCTTTGATCCGAACATTTGGCACAATCATTCGTCCTTTTCCCTGGCATGTTTTTCGGGGCATGCACCGTCCCCAATTTTTCAGCAGTCTTGGAAGCCGCCGCAAGGACCAGCACCTCGACTTTCCAGAGATCCCGGAGGAGGACAAGGAGAGACTTGCGCTGGTGCCCCTTCAGCTCTGCGAGGAGGGGCTGTCGTCTGGGAATCGTATTTTTTTTGGGGGCCCTCGCAGTGGTGACTCAAGTTCCCATTTGCTTTTCCCATTTGGTTTTCCCATTTAGTTTTCCCATTTAGTTTTCCCATTTGCTTTGCCCATTTGGTTTTTCCATTTGGTTTTCCCATTTGGTTTTCCCTTGTGTTTTTTCCCATTTGGTTTTCCCGTTTTGTGTTCCCATTTAGTTTTCCCATTTGCTTTTCCCATTTAGTTTTCCCTTTTGCTTTTCCCATTTGGTTTTCCCATTTGGTTTTCCCACTTAGTTTTCCCTTTTGCTTTTCCAATTTGTTTTCCCATTTTGTTTTCCCATTTTGTTTTCCCTTTTGCTTTTTTTCATTTGGTTTTCCCATTTGGTTTTCCCATTTGATTTTCCCTTTTGGTTTTCCCATTTAGTTGTCCCATTTGGATTTCCCATTTGCTTTGCGCATTTGCTTTTCCCATTTGGTTATCCCTTTTGCTTTTCCCATTTGGTTTACCCATTTGCTTTTCCCATATGGCTTTCCCATTTGGTTTCCCATTTGGTTTTCCCATTTGCTTTTCCCATTTGGTTTTCCCATTTGGTTTTCCCATGTGGTTTTCCCATTTAGTTTTCCCTTTTGCTTTTCCCATTTAGTTTTCCCTTTAGCTTTTCCCATTTGGTTTTCCCATTTGGTTTTCCCATTTAGTTTTCCCGTTTGGTTTTCCCATTTGGTTTTCCCGTTTGGTTTTCCCATTTGGTTTTCCCATTTGGTTTTTCCATTTGGTTTTCCCATTTGGTTTTCCCATTTAGTTTTCCCTTTGGGTTTTCCCATTTGGTTTTCCCATTTGGTTTTCTCATTTAGTTTTCCCAATTGGTTTTCTCATTTAGTTTTCCCATTTAGTTTTCCCATTTGCTTTTCCCATTTAGTTTTCCCTTTTGCTTTTCCCATTTGGTTTTCCCATTTGGTTTTCCCACTTAGTTTTCCCATTTGCTTTTCCAATTTGTTTTCCCATTTTCTTTTCCCATTTGGTTGTCCCTTTTGTTTTTCCATTTTCTTTTCCCAGTTTTCCAATTTGCTTTGCCCATTTGGATTTCCCATTTGGTTTTCCCATTTGGTTTTCCCATTTGGTTTTTCCTTTTGGTTTTCCCTTTTGCTTTGCGCATTTGCTTTTCTCATTTGCTTTTCCCATTTAGTTTTCCCTTTTGCTTTTCCCATTTGTTTTTCCCTTTTGCTTTTTCCCACTTAGTTTTCCCATTTGCATTTCCAATTTGTTTTCCGATTTTCTTTTCCCATTTGGTTGTCCCTTTTGTTTGTCCATTTGCTTTTCCCAGTTTTCCAATTTGCTTTGCCATTTGGATTTCCCATTTGGTTTTCCCATTTCATTTTCCCATTTGGTGTTCCAATTTTTTTCCCATTTAGTTTTCCCTTTTGCTTTTCCCATTTAGTTTTCCCTTTTGCTTCTCCCATTTGGTTTTCCCATTTGGTTTTCCCACTTAGTTTCCCCTCTTGCTTTTCCAATTTGCTTTGCCCATTTGGTTTTCCCATTTGGTTTTCCCATTTGGTTTTCCCATTTGGTTTTCCCATTTGGTTTTTCCATTTGGTTTTCCCATTTGGTTTTCCCATTTGGTTTTCCCATTTGGTTTTTCCATTTGGTTTTCCCATTTGGTTTTTCCTTGTGCTTTTTCCCATTTGGTTTTCCCGTTTTGTGTTCCCATTTAGTTTTCCCATTTGGTTTTCCCATTTAGTTTTCCCTTTTGCTTTTATCATTTGGTTTTCCCATTTGGTTTTCCCACTCAGTTTTCCCTTTTGCTTTTCCAATTTGTTTTCCCATTTTGTTTTCCCTTTTGCTTTTTTTCATTTGGTTTTCCCATTTGGTTTTCCCATTTGATTTTCCCTTTTGGTTTTCCCATTTAGTTTTCCCATTTGGATTTCCCATTTGCTTTGCGCATTTGCTTTTCCCATTTGGTTATCCCTTTTGCTTTTCCCATTTGGTTTACCCATTTGCTTTTCCCATTTAGTTTTCCCATTTGGTTTTCCCATTTAGTTTTCCCTTTTGCTTTTCCCATTTCCCATTTGCTTTTCCCATTTGCTTTTCGCATTTGCTTTTCCCATTTGGTTTTCCCATTTGGTTTTCCAATTTGCTTTGCCCATTTGGTTTTCCCATTTGGTTTTTCCCATTTGGTTTTCCCATTTGGTTTTCCCATTTGCTTTTCCTTTTGCTGAACCCATTTGGTTTTCTCATTTGGTTTTCCCATTTAGGTTTCCCATTTGCTTTTCCCATTTGGTTTTCCCTTGTGGTTTTCCCATTTGGTTTTCCCATGTAGTTTTCCCATTTGGTTTTCCAATTTAGTTTTCCCATCTAGTTTTTCCATTTGGTTTTCCCATTTGGTTTTCCCACTTAGTTTTCCCATTTGCTTTTCCAGTTTGCTTTGCCCATTTGGTTTTTCCATTTGGTTTTCCCATTTGGTTTTCCCTTGTGTTTTTCCCATTTGGTTTTCCCGTTTGGTTTTCCGTTTTGCTTTTCCCATTTGGTTTTCCCATTTGCTTTTCCCATTTAGTTTTCGCATTTGCTTTTCCCATTTAGTTTTCCCATTTGGTTTTCCCATTTAGTTATCTCTGTTGCTTTTGCCATTTGGTTTTCCCTTTTGCTTTTCCCATTTGCTTTTCCCATTTGGTTTTCCCATTTGCTTTTCCAATTTAGTTTTCCCATTTGATTCTCCCATTTGTTTTTCCCATTTGGTTTTCCCATTTGGTTTTCCCATTTGGTTTTCCCATTTGGGTTTTCCATTTGGTTTTCTCATTTAGTTTTCCCATTTGCTTTTCTATTTGGTTTTCCCATTTGGTTTTCCCATTTGGTTTTCCCATTTGCTTTTCCCTTTTGGTTTTCTCATTTGCTTTTTCGACTGTTCCCATTTGGTTTTCCCATTTGCTTTTCGCTTTTGCTTTTCCCATTTGGTTTTCGCATTTGGTTTCCCAATTTGCTTTGCCCATTTGGTTTTCCCATTTGGTTTTCCCATTTGGTTTTCCCATGTGCTTTTCCCATTTGGTTTTGTCAATTGCTTTTCCCACTTTTCCCATTTGGTTTTCCCAATTGATTTTCCCATTTGGTTTTCTCATTTGGGTTTCCCATTTGGTTTTCCCATTTGGTTTTCCCATTTGGTTTTCCCATTTGGTTTTTTCCCATTTGGTTTTCCCATTTGTTTTTCCATTTGCTTTTTCCAGTTTTCCATTTGCTTTTCCCAGTTTTCCAACTTGCTTTGCCCATTTGGTTTTCCCATTTGGTTGTCCCTGTTGTTTGTCCATTTGCTTTTCCCATTTGGAATTTCCCATTTGCTTTTCCCATTTGGATTTCCTATTTGGTTTTCCCATTTAGTTTTCCCTTTTGCTTTTCCCATTTGGTTTCCCATTTGGTTTTCCCATTTAGTTTTCCCATTTGGTTTTCCCATTTGGTTTTCCCATTTAGTTTTCCCTTTTGCTTTTCTCATTCGGTTTTCCCATTTGCTTTTCCCATTTGGTTTTCCCATTTGCTTTTCCCATTTAGTTTTCCCATTTGGTTTTCCCATTTAGTTTTCCCTGTTGCTTTTGCCATTTGGTTTTCCCTTTTGCTTTTCCCATTTGCTTTTCCCATTTGGTTTTCCCATTTGCTTTTCCCATTTGGTTTTCCCATTTGCTTTTCCCATTTGGTTGTCCCTTTTGTTTTTCCATTTGCTTTTCCCAGTTTTCCATTTTGCTTTACCCATTTGGATTTCCCATTTGGTTTTTCCATTTAGTTTTCCCTGTTGCTTTTCCCATTTGGTTTTCCCATTTGGTTTTCCCATTTGGTTTTCCAATCTTTTCCCCATTTAGTTTTCCCTTTTGCTTTTCCCATTTAGTTTTCCCTTTTGCTTCTCCCATTTGGTTTTCCCATTTGGTTTTCCCACTTAGTTTCCCCTCTTGCTTTTCCAATTTGCTTTGCCCATTTGGTTTTCCCATTTGGTTTTCCGATTTGATTTTCCCATTTGTTTTTCCCATTTGGTTTTGCCATTTGGTTTTCCCATTTGGTTTTCCCATTTGGTTGTCCCATTTGGTTTTTCCATTTGGTTTTCCCATTTAGTTTTCTCATTTCCTTTTCCCATTTGGTTTTCCCATTTGCTTTTCTTAATTGGTTGTCCAATTTGGTTTTCCCATTTGTTTTTCTCATTTCCTTTTCCCATTTGGTTTTCCCATTTGCTTTTCCCAATTGGTTGTCCAATTTGTTTTTCCCATTTGGTTTTCCCATTTGGTTTTCCCATTTGCTTTTCGCTTTTGCTTTTCCCATTTGGTTTTCGCATTTGGTTTCCCAATTTGCTTTGCCCATTTGGTTTTCCCATTTGGTTTTTTCATTTGATTTGCCCATTTGGTTTTCCCATTTGGTTTTTCCATTTGGTTTTCCCATTTGGTTTTCCCATTTGGTTTTCCCATTTGCTTTTCCCTTTTGGTTTTCTCATTTGCTTTTTCGACTGTTCCCATTTGGTTTTCCCATTTGCTTTTCGCTTTTGCTTTTCCCATTTGGTTTTCGCATTTGGTTTCCCAATTTGCTTTGCCCATTTGGTTTTCCCATTTGCTTTTCCCATTTGGTTGTCCCTTTTGTTTTTCCATTTGCTTTTCCCAGTTTTCCAATTTGCTTTGCCCATTTGGATTTCCCATTTGGTTTTCCCATTTAGTGTTCCCTGTTGCTTTTCCCATTTGGTTTGCCCATTTGGTTTTCCCATTTGGCTTTCCCATTTGGTTTTTCCATTTGGTTTTCCCATTTGGTTTTTCCAGTTTTCCATTTGGTTTTCCCAGTTTTCCCATTTGTTCTTCCCATTTGGTTTTCCCATTTGCTTTTCCCATTTGGTTTTCTCATGTGCTTTTCCCTGTTTTCCCATTTGGTTTTCCAATTTTGTTTTCCCGTTTGGTTTTCCCATTTGGTTTTCCCATTTGGTTTTCCCATGTGGTTTTCCCATATGGCTTTCCCATTTGGTTTTCCCATTTGGTTTTCCCATGTGGTTTT